AATTTGACTCTCGTTTTTGTCAATAGCTTTAAGAAATAAATAAATAAATAAATAAATAAATAAATAAATAAATTGACGCACCAATTCTGAATACATTCAATAATATAACAAGTTCAACAGTTAAATTGACTATAAATTTATTATTGATCAAGAGTCATATTCGAATAGATCTTTTTCTTTAAACAATCGTAAAATGTACTTAAAATACTGTTCTTTTCTTTAATGGATAATTTCTTTATCGAAACAACTAGTTTTATATCTTATCAAACTAGAATAACGTTATCTATTGCAATTACAGTGTGGACCCGATATATATATGGGCCTGTTCTATCCACTTTTTGTTATCTTATGAGAAATAATCTGTTTAAAAGTTAAATTAATAAGAATACAGATTTAATTTTTTAGTTAGTCTATTTATTTATTTGCCTAACACTAAAAACTATTTTACATGGAAGACAATGATTCTTAGCCTATACATAAGTAACCTAATAAACAAACATGGAAGACAATGATTTTCTTATAGCTATGAAAGAAAGCTACTATGAAATCACAATAATTTAAAAGTATTCATATTGATTGAAGATTGGTTCTTCTATGAAACAAATGGGGAAAACCCTATGCTAATATCACCTAAGAATTGCGACCGTACCAAGACCAGCATCACCCTAGACTTGGCTTTAAAGCTGACTTCCCGTTGTTGTCTAATCGAACTAGATTCAGGCCTGAACCCAGCGATCGTACTTGGTTCGCATTTGGTACTCCTGTTGATGTTGCTGCTGCTGTTGGCACTTCCCATCTAGAGAAGTCCAGAAGAATGTTCCACTGCTCGTACGGGCAAAGTGGACCGGGATGAAGGTCTGATCAGGATGCACGGGAACAATGCAATGCGTTTGATCTTGTTGGACGATAATAGCGGCATTGCTGGGGCATTCGCGCAGATCGTTGTAGAGTCTCTGTTCGAGCAGCTCGTTTGCCGTATTGTCACAGCTGGTCACTGAATCTCTACGCATGTCCTCCAGCGATGAGTTTATCTCGTTCTGGGACTGCACCTCGGCCAGGGTCTTGTGAATTAGCTTCTTCTTCTTCATTAGCCGCAGCAGTGGTTTGACAAGTTTCTTCAGGCTAAGCATTGCCATTGCATGTTGATCAGATTTTTTTTGCATCATGATGCTCGTTTCGAACTTGTATTCCCGTGTGATGAAAGACATTGAGAGCGACTTAAATTGAGGATGTTGTCACGTTGCTGGTCTGTACTGTTGTGCTGTTTGAGATAGTGAAGGCTCCGCTTTTATACGATCAGCGCTCAGCTGAACCTCTGTGCTCTCTCAACGCTCTCTCCTCATGCAGCCAATGAAAATGCTTCCTTGAGGCAGGTGGTTGTTTACGCATTGACTGACCCGAGTGAAAGAAAGGGAGAGACTGATATTCCAGATCTTTGAAAGTGTATATTTGGTTGGAGTTTTCGGGTTGCTCAAAATCGACTTTCTTATCTCCTGGCTCGCTCGCCGCTACCTGCTCAGCATGATATTTCCAAATCACATTCCGAAGTGCCTTGCCCTGACATGAACAGACAAGTCGTAACAAGTCCGTAAATACCCAACACTAAGTGCAGAGGATTTTAAAATTGGACACACTATCCGAAAAATAGCAGGGTAGGAACGAGAATAACAATAGTGCGCACTCATACATACATATCTCTCAGGCCATCTCGCTTGGAAAAACCTACTTGTTGGCCTTTTCTTTAACACAATACGAAAATTCCAATACCGTCCCGAGCTCTGTAACCTGTCGGTAGAAAGTAACGTATTTTATACCCTGAACCCATTGAAAATGGGAAAAGGTATGTAAAAGCCAGAAGGAAGCATAGCAGACTGCATAAAATATATACATTCTTGATCAGGGCGAAGAGCTAATCGTGTATACTACTCGTGTATACCTTAAGTAAGAGCTTGTCATATTTTTTCGATAACTTATCCGATTTATTTTTATCGAGAATAATCGATAAACTACTTTTCTTATGACAGCCTAATTTAAACAGTTTTAGACCAGGAGAAGTTCAAATTTACTGTACTATGTATGTATATTTGATGAATACAAATATTTAATAATTTACAGATTTTGGATACCACGCCCCTTTCGATCTCAATATGTAATAAAAATATTTCAGGTACTAGAGACTTGTGCTTTGGAATGCACTCACATTTCATTTGGCTATACGATCACGTTCTGAAAGTTTCATGAAGATAGTCTTACTATAAGAGAAATTATTCAACAAGTAAAATCTCAAAATATTGCCCACACTGCAGCTCACTGCAGCGCAGCCCAGAGCGTATGTATAAGTTTGAGTGCATAAAATAAATGCAGAATGATTATAATATCAGATTGGAGGGTTCAGGGTATCTCCTAGTCGAACAGTCTGGACTAGATCCTTCTTGTTTCCTGTTTTTGTCTGCCGGATTGTTGTGAGTTTTGATGGTTAGTCAAATCGAATTAACGCGATATTTGGGACTTACAACGTTCTCGTGGTGGCAGGTAGTGTGCACACATAACCGTTTGCACACACATTTGCTCGTCATTGTTATTTTTAGGATCTCTCTGTGGGTCCGTAAACAATTTGCGACGCGGGTGATGCATCCTTGATCTTCAAATTTTTTCTGAAAATTTGTCGGCAAATTATTTCTGGGCCTTCCGATTGTTATTTGAACGTTCCATGTGAAACGTCACAGTCGTTTTTTAAAGGCTTTACGCTAGGCATTCTTTTAATAAAATTTGTTTTAGATTTTTTGACGAATTACTTAAATCACACTGAGGATCTATAGTTATTTTTTAATATATATATGGTTGTAATATATATATATATATATATATATATAT